CTGTTCTAACATCCCATGTAATCCAGCCATGTAATCAGAGTTATTCATCATATTCGTCTCAGATAGGTTGGAAGAGAGGCAGGTCCCTCTCCAATAGCACTGCCCCAACTGCACAGCACTGCCTGCAAGTGTTCACCACAAAGTAAAATGGATATTATAGTCTTAGAGTTAAGATAAGAGTACCAAGAACTTGGCGGTTTGTCTGATAGAGCATGTTAAAGGAATCCCTCTTGAACTGGGGGAACTAGGGTTACCAATCCAGTTCCTGGCACACCAGTGTGTCTATAGGTTTTTCTTCCCATTCAATTCTTAATGACCTAAATTAACACAATACTGGTTTAATTGGACCAATTTGGCAGTTGTTTCAGCTCTTTTCAGTTCTTCAAATGCTTTAAAGAGACTTAAAAGACTCACAGTCTAATCATTCCTCCAGGATCAGCATTGGATACCTACTGTAGGACTTGAATAAAGGAGACTGGGAGACAGGGAATTTTAATAAGCCTTTGGGTTTTCTAAAATAAAATGTTTTAAATCTGTCAGTGATATGTGTATATCTGAATTATATTCATTAGTTTTCATACATACAGTATATTTATAGAGGGTATCACACATTGAAAATGTATTTTGTTATATTTTATTTTTTTCCCCAAAGATACTGCAACATCAATAAAAGAAAATCTTTAAGGATATGTCTCTTTTCCACACAAATAGGCTGTCATTAATACCTTGCGCCTACACTTGATAAATTCAAGTTTCGGCTGTGTTTGTTGTGTTTCTTTTCTTCTCTTTTCTTCCTGGAATAAACCTTTACTTGTTATTTTGCAGCCTACACATGCTGACGCAATGTGAACTTCTTCAAAGTTTTCTTTTTGCCACTTTGAAGCCTACTTTGTCTTTTTGTTGTTGTATGTAATTATTGTAATAATTAAAGTAAAATATATGTTACAATTTTAAATAGATTTAGTTCAATCTGCTCAGTTCAACAGTTCAATCTGTTGTACAGTAAAGCTAGAGGATTATTACCAATGTTTGTAGAGTTAAATTAATATTTAAGCATGTTCAGTAATCATCTGCAGTTTACTGCATATTACTTTACATGCATGCTTCTTGTTTAACCTAAGTATGATTATGTTTAAATACTGCTAGTAACAAACATAACAAATACAACAAGCCAACTGCTCCAGATTGTGTTCTGTTTATGAAAAGTGTTCCTGTGCACTGCTGGAAAACTGGGCCAAAAGATTTGCTATTTAATTTTTCTATGGATGAAAAACAAATACCTGTGTAGTACATTATCATAAAATCAGCACTGCTAATCTGTTGTTTTCTGAAATGCATAAATAAGTTTGCTCACAAATATTAAGTAGAATTAAATTAATCAAAAGGAAATTATGTAAGCAATGCAAAGAATTTCAGCATATCTAATAGTAATAGTAATAGTAATAGTAATAGTGTGACCAGCAGGGATGGAGGAGAGAAAAGAAAAACTGCTTTCCTGGTGTTAAAATGCTCTTCAGTAACTCTACATAGCATCTGTGATAGAGCAGCAAGAGAATCCACTTTGTAAGTATGTTTGATCAATTTTGCACAGAATTATATTATCTGATTAAGAACACTTTTGCCAGTTCAACACAAAGAGAATGACAAACAACAATAATATCTCTAGACTTGTCCCATTTATCACAAGGACAGCAGTAAAGATAGGTTCCCCAACAACCATGGATCTTTAAGTCATACTTCAGCACCTTTGAAAACGTTGTATTAAAAAGCAAATTTAATAAGTAATGTTTGATTACTGAGAGTGATTTAAATGAAAAGGTATTTAAATGAAAACAGCATTCCCATTTTTACCTATGACACCTGAAATGACTGCAATAAAACTAAACTCAAAATCAACCAAACCTCTAATGTACTTCATTTGTTGGAGCAAATTTCCCCTGTGGCACATTACTGCAACTGCTGATCAACTGTCTTTAACCCTGTACAGTAGTTGCTCATCTTACATCCTGCAAGGACACACTGAAAAAATGCAAAAACAAAGAAATCTTTCTTAACGTGCCCTAACATTTTTCTTTACTTTGTCCTTCACTGGCTTAAAAATGCCTAAGGGTTATACATTTTTTTATTTATTTTAGTTTAAACTAGTGTAACAGTTTACACTACTACACTACTATATAGTTCACACTTCATAACATACTGTTCATGTATTTCTCAGTGTCAGCACTGTTTCCAAACATGCCGTTTTTTGTATGATACACAAGATTAGCATGCAAATTATTTTGCTAGATATTAAAGCTCACAGTGTCTACAAATTTGATCCAATATTGCAATGCATAAGCAACC